ATATATATATATATATATATAAAGTTATAAAATATGATGTTTTAAAATAATACAAAATAAAATAAAATAAGAACAAAAGCGAGAACTGTAAATAAATAAATAATTATATATGATTTAGAATGTTATAAATAAATATAGTAATGAAAATATAAGTTAATAGAAAAGTAAGGGGATAATGAGAGATAAATGAAATAAATAAATAAATAGGAAGAATGCATATATAAGATAAATAGAATGAAGTAAATAAATAGGACTAGTGTGTAATTAGAATTAAATTGAAAAAGAATAATTAATTAGTACATATATAACAGGAGATAAATTGAATTAAATAAATAAATAGAACTAGTGTGGGACTAAGTTAAATTAAATTAAAAGAAATAATTAAGCAGGCGAAAAATTAAATGAAATAAATAAATACTATCCGATATTAAATTAAAAGAAATAATTGAGCAAGACTACTACTGAAAATAAAATATAATAAATAAACAAGATCAATCAATGTGTAATGGTAGATAAATTAAATTAAAAAAATAAATGAAACTAATACTTAACTACTCAAGGTAAAATAAAATAAAATAAATAGGATTTGTGCGTAACATGATATAAATTATATAAATTGATTAAAATAATTAAACATAACTAAAGATAAATCAAGTAAATAATTAAGCAAGACTGGTGCATAATTGAAAATCATTCTATACCCCTAACTACTTATAAAACAAAACTCAATTACTAAAGTGAAGTTAAGAATTCAACCACCGCTAATAAAAGAAAACCACATCTCAAATATATCTACTTTGTAAGAATAGCTATAAAACTGGATAAAAGTTTCTTAAATATTTTAAAATTAAAACAACTATAAATATTGGGTAAGAAGTTTATTAAATATTATAAAATCAAATGAAAAATCTTTTAAATAAATATAAACTTTTCATGTGTTTTAAGTGCATGTTACGCCAATAACGTCAAATTTGTATTAATTTATATATTATAAATTGACTTAATCTTAAATTTAGAATTTTCAAAAGATAAGACATCAAATTATAATTATAATATTATATTAAGAAACGAGTTTTAAACTTAATTTAATTTTATAAAATTAACTTATAAAATATAGAATGTAAAATTGGTCTTATTCATGAGCGAGACTTTTATCTCAAATTTCACAATTTCTTAAAGGAAATTCTAAAAATAAATTAATTATTTTAACATTCGCTAGTTCGTATTTAACAAATTATTATAACAAACTATTTAACAAAGTATTGGCATTTTTCAAACACGGTTGATGAAAAAAATAACAATAATAAACACTTAACACCAAAATGTCAAAATATATTTGTGACAACACTCTATTACCTCCGAATATTTGATTTGTCACTTTCTTCCCTTTCTTCATTCCACGTTGTTGGTTTTACCTGGTTATGATAATCATACGGGCGATGAAGAAACAAAGGCCATCGTAATATATAACGTTTTGAAAAAGAAGAAAAAAGTAACAAGAGTTCCGGATCTTGTAAATTAAGATGTAAAAAATGAATCTAGCATGCAAAAGTATAAAATGATAAGCTGAATCTTAGATAAATTGAACTACAAACAAAGATAAGTGTAAACAATACAAAAGCATAATTCTATTTTTAAGCAACTTAAAAGTTAAAAATAGTTTCACCAAGAACAATGATATGAACATGTTTTATTTTCAAACATTTGAGTAACATAATTTCTTTCCTTTCCTTTTCTTTTTACATCAATCGTATCACTTTTTGATACCTACATTTTTTTTCTCATTAAATATCATTTATTGAATTAAAAAGGACTTGGCATTTAAAATAAAATTCTCGTTAATTTTAGTGCAGCTCGACATAAATCCTAGATAAGTTCCATACGATGAAACATAAATCACATTTATTTATTCATAATAAAGGAAGTACACTTGTGGCTGATTTAACAAGAACATCATAGGTGGGTTGGAAAAAAAGAACAATGAACAGAACGAGGTATTTTGATTACTGGAATGAGTGAATCTGAAAACTGGTTGTGTATCAAAAAAGAGAAGAAAAATAGAGGTAGAGAAGATTTGGGATATTTTGGTGAGATTGTGGCTGCACGAAATGATGGAGATTTGGAGTGACGTGGCTTTCTCTCTATCTCAAACTAACTATCCACTCCCTAACCCACTCATATCTATTTCTTTTTCACTTTTTCAACTCTCTTCTCTCCCTGCTTTCCACGTCATCCCCTACCCTTTTTGCTACGGTACGCCCCTTTCTCTCCAACTTCATCAGGCGCACGTTAGCTCCTACCACCATCTAGTTTTTTTCTTCCTCGGATTGAAAATCCCATTCCCAAGTACAAAATACTCTCATGGTTGATCTTTTCTCACTACAGGGCCAGAAAAAAATTCAGTTTTTTTTTTGTGTGAACTGCTAACTTGCGCCGCTTCTCCTAGGCTTTGAATTTTGCAGGTGCCGCAACGATCAGCAGATATGAACAAATGGGCTTTGAATATCATGTGTCTTGATTGGGGTTGTGGTTGCAAGATTTGATTTTGAGCGAGGGTTTAGTGTTGAGTTGTTGTTTTTTCTAGTACAGGGAAGAAGGGTTACGATGGATGCCGATACTGAGACTGAGGAAATTATTAATTTGAACAATAAAGCAAGTAACTGTGGTGGGAATAATAGTAAGAGTGGAGATGGCTTTATTGACAGAAGCAAAGTGAGGATTTTGTTGTGTGACAACGATTCCAAGAGTTCTGAAGAGGTTTTTACACTTCTTTTGAGGTGTTCTTATCAGGGTATGAATTAAACCCCCTTTTACTTTCTTCTTTTGGTGTCAGTTATTGTTCTGATAGAAAAAGTTGAATTGGAAATTTTCTTTCTAGGATGGTAAGTGATGTCCGAAATATGAAGGGGGTGATTTTGAATTGTTATATTATATGTATCATTGAGTTACATGCTTTCATTTTGAAAATCAATTTGTGTAATTAGTCCAACTATTGTATTCGCTGGCTGATCCAAACTATTTTGCTTTTCAACTTTGTGAACCTTATCCATTTGTTCAAGGTGTACATGAAAGATGATTCTTAGAGGAATTTTTAGCTTCCCTTGTGTCTTAATTAAGCCTGTTCAAGAGAGTTGCTTGCTGCAACTTTTGAAAATATGACTAGCGTGGATATTTTTTGCTTAACAGTTACTTCAGTAAAATCGGCTAGGCAAGTAATTGATGCACTGAATGCGGAGGGGCAATATATAGACATGATACTAGTTGAAGTTGACCTTCCGGTGAAGAAAGGCATGAAGTTGTTGAAGTACATAGCAAGGGATAAAGAATTATGCCGAATCCCTGTTATAAGTAAGTCTCGAGTCTTTATTTTCATAAGGAAATTTTTAGCACTCTTTTTGTTTGGCAAATTGTATCCTGTTTCTCATCAATGTTTCTATTTTAATTTTTTGGTTGGGGGGGTTAAGTGATGTCTGCACAAGATGAGGTATCCATTGTTGTAAAGTGCTTGAGGCTTGGGGCAGCAGATTACCTAGTAAAGCCTTTACGCACAAATGAACTATTAAATTTGTGGACACACATGTGGAGAAGGAGACGCATGGTATCTATTTCCCAACTTATTCATATTGTGTTTATTCATACTATTATTGATTTTCTACCTGTCCTTAAACATCTCCATTCCATGCTGATACGAAATGAATATTGATGACTGTCTTTCTTGTGACTTGAAGAATCTCTATTCCATGATGTCAACTTTCTTGTTATAATATTTAATTGGGGTCTTTGTTTGCTGTAGTCCTACTTTCAAATACATGTTTAACTGAATGATACACTCACTAAGGATTGAAATTCAACTGAGCATAATGGCAATTCACATGAACATGCTTTTAGCTTCTGTTTGCTTTCGAACAGCATTAGTGTTTAAGATTCAGATATTTTACATAATGTTATAGTATATGTGAATGTGTAAAGTATATGTCTAGTATTTCCTAAGGATTTTTGGAAAGCTTGGAGAGTATGAATTTGTGATCATCTTTTAAAGGTAAGTTGAAATTGAAACAAAGCGTTCAGCAAAGTATGAGTTTGTGATCAGTGCATCTAACTTGTTTATAGTTTAATTTCTGGTGAAAATATGTCACATGGCTTCATACTATGAATGTGGAAAACATTGATTTAGTAGTCATGAATGAGAACAACTTTTCATGGAATAATCATAATGGAATATGGAATGTTGGTGCAGCCTCACCCCTTTCTCTTGCTTGCTTCCTCATTGTTTATGTGGATTTTCTTATCCCCATTGCATATGACATTTGTTTTACTAAATTTTCAATTTTCAACTTAGATCTTCTCAACTTGAAATTGAAATGGATATTTTTATTCTGGCAGCTTGGACTTGTGGAGAACAACATCTTGAATTATGAGTTTGAACTGGTAGCATCAGATCCAAGTGATGCCAATACAAACAGTACCACCTTGTTCTCTGATGATACAGATGACAAGTCCAAAAGAAGCACTAATCCAGAGACCGTAGTATCAATCCAACAAGAAGAAGAGGTAAATGCTAGAGAACAATATTTAAACAATAAAAGAAAGAATGTAGTGGGTTTTACAGAATTGGAAATTGATGACTTTGTGTGTCACCTTGAAATTAAATCTATTATATTTAGAAACGGTGTTTTTCTCTAATCAACTTTGATTACTTTGCAAATTATTCAACTTTTCTAAGTTTTTTTTTTCGTATTGCTGTGCTTCTATCTGTTAATGACAGTGAGAAACCCTCCCAAGCTAACACAAGTTTTTTCTGAAAACTATTTCTCAGTGATGAAATTTCAATCAAGTCTACCCTTTAAATACTACTAAGATATCCCTAAGAATTCTCCTAATTGATACACTTAAAATAAATAGTTTCCTACTCAATAGAAGCATAACTAACAATTATCCTATTCGATAATATAAAGGATATCAATAATTGATAGGATCTTATATAAAAATTATCCTAATTAATAAAGCAATGATCCTAACATCAAGATCTTATTAAGATCATAGGAAAAATTAAAGAAACAAGCTAAACCGAAATAAGTCAAGATCTAAATAAAAAGTTATGGTAATCCTAGTTGCTGGTCCAGTACACTATGTTTCTCACTGCTTTCCACCTGAAAATGGATATTAATTCTAATGGTAGTATAAAAGTTAAATTGTAATATAAATCCGTCAAAGTCTTTGGTAGGGTGAAAATTGATTAATGTAAATGAGTCATAGTGCATTTTTAAATAAAATCTTAAACACCATTTCTGATGTAAGTCTTAATTAGTATCCTAAATAAACAGCATTGCTGAAAGCAAAAAATATAACTATAAGGAAGTTACTAATAACAATTTGGAAAACACTTTTTTTTTTTTTTACTAAAGACTAGACAACTCACAACTATGGATAGAGCCATTTGATTATTTATTTATGCATGTAGAAAGTGTTGATACGAGCCTTGCATAGACCCAGCAATGCAGAAAAGGAGGTGAGAGTTTTGCATTTGTAAATGAGTGTATATATAGCATTGCTCAAATGTCTTTTGGGCCAGCTACTTCCGTTTAAGTATGATCTGTGTGGTTTACTGGTAATAACTGTAGAACAGAGTGGTTACGTGATACATTATAATACATGTAGAAAATTTGTCTTTTCAGGTTAATATTGCCGCCGCCACCAATGTTGTGGTGGAGCTTCCCAGTGCTCTTGTCTCAGAATATCAGCCTGATGTGCCTGGAATAAGTGATCGCAGAACAGGTATGCTTCTCCTTTTCCTTTAACCACTATTTTCAAAATACAAAATTATATAATACTTTTGTGCATTATGTTTATTGAATACAATGTATTGAACAATATTTTGAATGCCATAAAATAACACATTCTTGTAAAGCTTCGGTTTTTCCTATCTCTGTGCCCTTATAGCCAATTTTGGTCCATATATCTACTGTTCAATTTCTCAAGAAAATCAAATAAATACATTGGTTCTTGCCTAATTGTGATTTATGATTACTCACATAGGTACTCCAATACAGCATCCATCATGCAGCAGAACTAATATTGGTAGTTTTCACTTGTACATCTTATTTGCCTCCTACATTCATGATTTAAAAAATGGCCACAGTTGAAAATAGGTCCTAAAGTTGAATAAAATTTGGCTGAAGTGAGTAACCCCTTGTTATTTTTACTGGTTTCGCTCTAATTTTCCATAATTTTGCAGGACATTTTTCATCTGGTCCAAAGAAGAGTGAACTGAAGATTGGAGAGTCATCAGCCTTTTTCACCTATGTCAAAGCAACAGCACTGAAAAGCAACATTGAAGAGACTGCTCATGTTGACAATACTACTACAGAAGTTAGGGTGAAACATGTGAATCAAGCATGTGGTGAACAGGATGGTAATGACCTAAATACACATGAAAATGGAGAAATGTTTGAAAATCATTCACAAGATGACTTACCCAGCAGCAACAGTATCCATGATTCTTTTTCTATTGAGAGATCTTGTACTCCACCTGCATCTGTGGAAGTTTCTCAGCAAAAGCATTACAGGGAAGAACGTTCTCGGGGAGTAATGCATCCAATAAATGGAAGTCACGGTTCCGATCCTGCTCAACATGCTTATCCATATTGCATTTCAGGAGTTGTTAATCATGTTATGATGCCATCATCAGCACAAATGTATCAAAAGAATATCCAGGACCTGCAAAGTCATTCTGGTTCTTCCGTGATTGCACAGTACAATCATCTTCCCCAATGTCCTCCTCAAGCAAGTGGGATGACATCCTTCCCATATTATCCAATGAGCATTTGCTTACAACCTGGTCAGATTTCTACAACTCATTCTTGGCCATCGTTAGGAAGTTCAAGTTCATGTGAAGTGAAATCAAGCAAGGTTGATAGGAGAGAAGCAGCACTGATGAAGTTTAGACAGAAAAGGAAAGAACGCTGTTTTGATAAGAAAATTAGGTATGTCAACAGAAAACGGCTTGCAGAAAGGCGGCCTCGTGTGAGGGGACAGTTTGTGAGAAAGTTGAATGGTGTTGATGTGGATCTTAATGGACAACCTACTTCCACTGATTATGATGAAGAGGAGGAAGACAACCATGTAGCAAGAGATTTCTCTCCTGAGGATGCTTGAGAATCTCAAATTGTAAGTTTGACCAAAAGGCTGAAGGACCACCAATGAATTTCTTTCTGCAGTGAAATTGTCCTGTGGAGGACTTGTTAGTGCTCCTGATCTTGATGGAAAATTCATGTAACAATATTAGTGGATGTGCACGTTCTGTCAATGTGAAGGGTCTGGTATGCTGTTCCTATTCAACTCTGCACCATTCTTATCAAAACTAGTTCAAACAAAATCTTGATGGGGTCTCAAATTTCACTCTGTCAAATGAAAGTTCCATATATCCTCCTCAAGGTGTACCTGTGCAGGTCTTACTCAAGTGGTTGAAAGTAATACACTTTTGTTTAATCAAAACTTTTGGAACCATTTTCTTAAATTTACTGTCAAACAAATTTTGCAACCAGCTCTCGTAATATTACTATGTAAAAGTGTTGTGTTATTAAGCTAGTTTATGGAGGAAAAATCCAAGTGTGAATGTGGCTGGTGATGATTTTTTATGATGGTGGTTTGTTGTAGTAATCTAAATACCTGTATAGTTTGTAGCTATTTACCCACTCAAGTGGAGAGTTGGAGGTATAACAAAACCTCTGGGTAATGTTACTATTTAGACTATTTCATTCAAGTTTATGGAAACTTCGAAGACTCGTCTCGTAAGATTCAGAATTACATATAAAATTTAGAATTCAAATATTTCGATAGAATAATTACACAAATTAATTGAAGTCCACACGATTTAAATATCTTGTTTCCATTCATTATTTTATCAATTTTTTTGAAGCATTTATATTTCTACTTTTAATACACGAGCAATTGAATTCGATCCATTCCATATACTTTAAATTAATCTGTATTTCAATTTTCAATTACAAAATTAAAAATCAAATTATATAACTATTAAATAAATAAATATAATTCCTAATTCCTAACTATAAAAGTTTGTAAGGGCCTGTAAATTTATAAAGGGGCCTTTGGGCCTTAGTGGGGCCAGCCAGGACATCAAAAAACTAGAAGGCCAATTGACCTTAGGAGGGGCTCTTCAGAACTCTTTTTTCTCCCATGAACTTCTTTCTCTTCTCTCCTAACAACTCTCATGTTCCTAGAACTCGCTCTCTTGGCTTCTCTTAATTTCCACTCTTTGAACCTGTTCAATCTGAGTTGTGAGGTGCTCAGACCGATTTCATCTCACCGACGGCTTCCTTTTGAAACGATCGATTTCGATTGAACCGGGAGTCAACTTTTCACTTCTCTGTCTCCATTCTAAAACCTAGAACATGAAATAGTCCTACTGGTGTGTATGTTCTAGGGGTTTTGTTCGTTTAATTTTTTGTTTGTTAAATCAAGTCTCTAGAGCTGTTACTCCGCACACGTGGTGGTTTTAGGGTTTGGTTTAGTTCTCATTTGGTGAAACACCGTAAAGTAGTGTTCCTATGAGCTTGGTAGTTCGACTCTGAGGTAAGGGGAGCTAAGACGTTTTCTTCTGATTTTATGTATGATGGTTATGTTTGGTGTGAAATCTGATGAAGTTGTCTGGTTAAAGTTGAGTGTTGAAGATTGAATGTGTAGAAGAATATGTACTGACATGTTTCTTTAGTGAAAACTGTAAAATTAGGTATTCGATGACATCGCCTTGGTATGTGAATGGTGTGTGAACCATGAATGAGTGTTTGATGATGATTTCGGGGTTAACCATGTGGGTAGTGATTAAATATGATGTGAGAGCTTAATACTGTTTGATGGTCATTTTGGGAGAGAACAAGGTGAACTGAGGTAGGGAATTGTTGATACTATGATTGGGACGTGTGATTGAAGTACTGAGAATGTAGTAGTAGTGGTAAATTGGGACAGGTTGATAGCCACGTTGTTGTTGGGATGAGAGAATTTCTAAAACCTGATGGCACATCCCTATCAGCCTGGCCTCTCATTTCAGCGCTTCGTAGTTGTGACTCGTCATTGTGCTGGCGCCCCGAAGGTGAGACTTATGACGTTCAGACATTGATCTTCGATACAATTGGGTTTAGGGAGATGTGGTTGAGGGTGGAATCCTTGTCTTAGTCGTTGTTTAAATGGTAGAATCAAATTGGGTCCTTGGTTTGATGAACTTGGAAATTTAAGTTTGAAAAACTTGTAGTAATCACTTTGATCATGCTCCGAACGTTTATAATCATCTAGACAAGTGTAATTAGCGTGATACAAGAATTAAGGAGGGTTAGAAGTTGGGGAAATAATGGAAGTGTAAGGATTAGTGTGAGTGTTTGATCTGCAGAATTCACGTTCTGCATATTATCAGTGTCGCTATGCGAGTTTGTCTCGCATAGATCGAGACCCTGTAGAGGTGGTGCTCCGTGTCTGGTATACTCGCTGTGGCCGAGTTGGTGTACGCTGTCGAAATTAGAGTTGATGCTACTGTTTATGGATCTCGCCCATGATCGAATCCTGTCGCTATGCGACTGGTGGTTGTCTGGGATCACTGCCCATTTAATTCGAAGAGCGAGTGGGGTGTGTTGCTGGGGATAGCGAGAGGTTTGAGTGTGATGTAGGCTGCGAATTAATCGCCCAGGCGAATAGGGTGACGCTATGCGAATTGTAGATTCCCTTTGTCAGGAAAATTCGCCCAGCCGCATCAGGGTGGTGCGCTATGCGAATTTGTCTGAAAAACACTTTCCGTCGAGGGAATTCGCCTCCGCCCCAAGGGGGGTGCGTTGTCGATTATGTGTACAGATTGGTTGTTTGGTGTTCGTTTTTGATGTTTTGGGATTCCGGAT